GAATTTGAATCTTAAACTGAATGACTCAAATTGAAAAACTGCCTGTGTGTGACTTAGGCCTGCAGTGGCGCTGTGCAGTGGCTCTATTCATTCCTGGGACTTACACCCCTGATGCTACCCTGATTCTAGCCTTTCCCAAAATCTGCCTTTTCAATTTTCTCTTCTAGTCTCTCAATTTTCATATTTTTACATATTTTCACTTTTTTTGGTTTTAATTATAGACAGTTAATTCTTATGCCCAAAGAATCCTACATGATATATCCTTCCTCTTTAAAGATAAAGAATTTAAGCTTCAAACACAGTAGTCTACTTGCCTAAGGTCTGAGAGGAAAATTCAAACCAGAGCTCACAATAAACCCAGAGTAGCCAAGTTTTCATACTGTATATGCTTTTTCCTTTAAAGTTATAGCAGTCTTGGAAGGAAGGACTCACTTCCTTGCTATGGTACTCAGAAGGACCAAAAATAAGTTCATATTGAGCGCTTTTTTTTTTTTTTTTTAGACAGAGTCTCACTCTGTTGCTCTGGGTAGAGTGTTGTGTGGCACTATCACAGCTCGCACCAATTTCAAACTCTTGGGCTCAAGTGATCCTTTTGCCTCAGCCTCCTGAGTAGCTGTGACTACACGTGCCCGCCACCACACCAGGCTAGTTTTTCTAATTTTAGTGAGATAGGATTTCACTCTTGCTCAGAAAGATCTTGAACTCAGATCTCAAGCAATCCACCTGCCTCGGCCTCCCATAGTGCTAGGATTACAGGCATGAGCCATTGCATCCAGCTCTTAATATTGAGCTCTTAATAAGTCTATTGGACTTTTGCTTCTGGCCATAATAGAGTGTCAGAGACTAGAATTTGTTCATAAAGCAAAAACAACAACAATAACAATAGCAATAAAAACAATCCACACAGGTGTGAAAAGAAAAGAATTTTCTGAAAAGAACGAGTCACTGATAAAGGTGATGACGTGGATACATGGTATACCTCAGAAACAATGGCATCAATAAGAGAAAAAAAATCCAGACACAAAAGAATACATACCTTTGAGCTTCGTTTATGTAATAGTCTAGGATGGTACTGTTCAACATATTGTGAATACTTAAATTTAAGTTGATTAAATTAAACTTTAAAAAAAAAACTTTACTGTTTAGTTGCATTAGCCACATGTGGCTTGCAGCTACCATTCAGGCAGTGCAAATACGGAAAATAGTATTTCCTTTTCTTCCAGAAAGTTCCATTGGAAAACACTGTTCTAGAAAAGTACAACTAATATGTATGACAAAAGGCAAGAGAGTGGTTGCCTAAGGCCAGTGGTGAGAGAAGATGGATTGCAAAGTGATCTGAGCGAAGATCTGGGGTAACAGAAATGTCAGAGGTTGTGGTGGAGGCCACATGTGATGTATAATAATGTGCCAAACTGCTCAAACTGGACACTCAGAATTGGTGAATTTCATCATATGTAAATTACACTTCAACAGGGTTTATTCTAAAAAGTCAAGTATTTTATGTAAATAATTCCTAATCAGTGGCAAACTTATTATTAGATGATTTTTTGTAAAGATGTGGGACATATTATTCATCCCCTGGAAAATATTTGCCAGTTGCTGCCAAAGTTAAGTAAGAATTAGCTAGCAAGCCTGCCCTCAAATTGTTCACCATCCAGCATCTGAGATGAAACTTATTCAAAAGTGGCTAGAATCAGGAAGAAGGTGGCAGGTCCCCTTACATAAACAAGTACAGAAATATTAACTTAGGACATTAATGATAGGGGAACCTTCTTTCATTTGGTGAGATGAGGGAGATTTGCTGGTCTTGGAAGAATGTGAAAAATGTATGTACAGATGGGGTTTTAAAACATTCTGGGGAGGACTAAATAGGATCCAAGGCAGAGAGTAATCCCCGAAGCAGGAAGCCTAGAGAAGAGAACACAGAAAAAAAAGCAGCTGCAAAATAATTTTCATGGGTCTCAGCGATCAGGGTTTGGACTAAGATTATCTGAGTTTGGCAGCCTGTACCTTCTTGGTTATTAGGAGCTGAGAAGATGAACACCTTCCTTTCCTTTATATTACATCCGGTGTTCCAGGCCCTAAGTTCCGCTCCTTCCCAAAGTACTTTCTCCTTCCTTTCAAACAAATCAAAAATCTTCACAAACATCATTCAAACAAGCAGGTCATGGTCAGAAAGGCAATCACCTTTTCCTAGGTTTCCGTCTACCTTATTATATGATAATCTCTGCCTAAAAGACTAAAAGTTCTGGAAAAAGAGCTAACTTGCACACCAAAAAATAATAATAATTCATGGATTTTTATAGTAAGCTGGGGTCTCTGGGGGAAGAGGGATGCAACATGAACACGAAGCAGTTAGGTAGGGATGGTATTATTGTCACCTATTTTCTTTGGTTATAGCTCTCAGTGTACTGTGGAATAATGGAGAGTTTGTCTCTTTTCCCATGGTTAAGGTAACTGTCTTCATTTATTTCCATAACTCAAAAGGAAACAGTATTTTTATAATTATTTACACAAAAGTTGTTGCCATTTAATATCTTTCCCTCTTAGCTGAGTGAATTTAGGATTTTTAGAATGACTTTTGAAGTCAGGGCATACAGTAGAAATGTTTTTAAAAAATAAGTTAGGCAGCTCAGCGCCTATGCCTCAAGTGGTTAAGGCACCAGCCACAGACACCTAAGGTGGTGGGTTCGAATCCAGCCCAGGCCCACCAAACAACAATGATGGCTGCAACTAAAAAATAGCCGGGCACTGTGGCGGGCGCCTATAGTCCCAGCTACTTGGGAGGCAGAGGCAGGACACTCGCTTGAGCCCAGGAGTTGGAGGTTGCTGTGAGCTGTGATGCCACATCACTCTACCCAGGGGGACAGCTTTAGGCTCTGCCTCAAAAAAAAAAAAAAAAAAAAGTTAGGCTATACATTTTTTAAAGTAAAATACACACACACACACACGAAATGTTTGCATATTGATATCTTGGGAGTCTATGGACTTGAAAAGTGATTTAAAGTATTTAGAGGAGTTCTTTCTTAATTTTTAGAATGACTGAATTATAAATATCAGACGTGGAAAGGACCCTAGGGCTTGCTGCTCCAAAGTGTGGTCCAAGGAGCAGCAGCAAGGACAGAACTTGGTAACATATTGGAAACACATGGTTTCAGGCCTCACCCCGCCCTACTGAACCAGAATGGGCATTAACAAGATTTTCAGGTAACTCACAGGCACATTAAATTTGGGAAGCTCTGCGCTAGAAATCATTATTTCACTTCCCATTTTATAAATGGGAATAGCAGTGCCCTGTGTGAAGGAATCACTTGACCATGATCACAGGAAATTGATTATTTTCAATTTAAGAACTTTATATTTAGGTCATCTGTATTTGTCATTAGCAGGGAAGAGAGCCAAACGCTTTAACTCCCATTAACAAATCTATAATTAATTAGTAAAATGATCTTCCCTTCAAGTCTCACATTTTGTAGAACAAGCTGTTTGATTTGGCTGGGGCTCGGGCCAGCATGTTTGTGAGTTTCACAATTCACAGATGTTAGACACTCGCAGGCTAAGTAAAGGGAGAGAATGTCAAGTTTTAAATAGCTTCTCCCTTCCATTCTGGCTGAAGCAGCAAATGAAATATTTTTTATGAAACACATTTTGAATCATAATTTCTTACAGGGAAATGTCAAATTTCTGTGAAAAGGGCTTTAGATTATCTCTCAACTTTGACATCTGTTGATGTCACCAGTTTGCACGTGTCCTGCGTTTAGGGAGTGAATGGAAGACAGGAACTTGCCATATTAGTGACACTTGGGCACAGAGAATATTTTTTTTTCTTCCTGTTGGAGTCTGTTCTAATTTAGCTTCTGAATCATATTTCATTCAATTTCCAAATCCACAAAACCAGGATAGGTTTACAGCTCATGTTCAGAGAGGAAAGAAATTATTCTATATGTAGACTTTTCCTGATATCATACTAACTCTGAATATATATGTATGAACAATTTATGGTTTCATTCCAAAGGAGGTCAAGTCAAAACAACCCCCCAAATAGCGAAAATATAATAGTGACACAAATAAAAGTGTGGCATACTGATTGAAACAAATTAGAATATTTTCACATGCAGGCAGTTTGAAATAATTTTGTAAGCCTCAAAGTATTTTAAGATGATTTATTATTTCCCATTTTAATATCACTTTAAGAAAATTAATATATCATATATGTGTATGTGTTTGAAGCAGGATATTTAAACAGCTCAGTAAAGGTTATTTTATTTGTGTCAGGGAAAACTTTTAAGGGGTTGTAAATGGGATATCTCTCTCTTTTCGTTGAGAGGAAGAGTTCTAGGTTAAATATAATAAGGAATTTCCCTGTCTTTGCTATTTGAGATTGTGACCACAACAGGCGGTTGGCTGAAAGGGAGACTGAAGGGGGGGGAGTTTGGGGGGAGAGATTAAAAGAAAAGAAACTTTCCTAAGCAGCTCTGCAAAAAATTTGAGCCCCAGTGACCGTTACAGAAGTTCTCAAATCAATTCAGTACCCACATTCAAGAAAGTATTACTTATCTGGAGCAGGGTGGATACTCCTCCGCTCAGTTCTGTGACAAAAGCCCAGGCTGCTGAAATTAAACTCTGATGCCATTCATGCCAGCATCCAATCACGAGCGAGATCAGAAGTTCAGAGATGCCTCCACCTCCAAACTGCCAACAACAAGTGTGGCTGCTATACGTCAAAGACTCTAAAGCTGTGATAGAGGGGGAAAAACAACGTTAGAGAGGATGCCCAGCTGGTAAGAATCAACTGTTGTGATGTTTTAGTCACTTGATGACTCTCATTGGCTAAAATCAAGAAACGCTCCGCCTATTTGCAAATGTGTGTAAAGGGGGGAAGTGTCTAAACTTCTATGTCTGATAGCATTTGACCCTATTGCTTTTAGCCTCCTGGCTTTATATCTATATATACACAGGTATATGTGTATATTTTCTATCATTGTTCTCCATTTGTTGATATCAAAGAGAGTTGAAGGCAATGAATTTTGAAACTTCACGGGGTGCCACCCTACAGTACTGCCCTGACCCTTACATCCAGCGGTGAGTTTAAACATGACATAACTTCTATGGAAACTTGATTGGAGTGCCTTGTGTAATATGAATGTTTCTTCTCTGTACCAAGAGCAGTCCCTCCTTGTTTAGTGATCACAGTGGTATTATTTTGGACTTCTTGGGAACTTAAAATGGTTTGTGAACATATTTCCTAAATTTCTTTTTGAGTTGATGTCTAGATCTACAAAGTGACAAATTTTGAAGGCGATCTTCCCACTTTTTAAAAATTGTCACACCATTTTAAGATGTTTAAAATGTATTATTTGCCTTGCTCAGCACCCACTCACCCAAGAAGAAAGTTCATTGGGCAGGGATGTCTAATAATTTATGGATGACTTTTAAGTCAAAACAAATACCAAACAATTTTAATTTGTACACTAAGAAATAGATAACTAGCCATTGTTATACTAAACAGATTGTGGCTTGTCATTTTGGTTCTAAGTAATATTTTCTTTCTGATATGTTTCATAACAAACCTCGTCTTTTGACAAATTTAACTTTTAAAATCTGCGATTATACAGAATTTTATTTATGTTTATTTGAAGAAGCATTTGCTTCCTAGTGAGAGGGAATATTAGTGAGAGGGCACAATTGTGTTTGTATGTGTTTCAAATTAGACTTTGCTATTTTTAAACTGGTAAATGAAATCTGAACAGTGTTTTTCCACTCATAAAGTTGTGGAGATACTCAAGTCCTATGTTACTGGTGTGATGTTGTTAATTTAACAGCCTGAGATTTTGTGCTTTATAATACGAGAGAGGTCCTTTCGGTGTTGAAAATGGTGCTGTTACAAAGGGTTAACTTGTCACTCACCACCAGTGTCTATTGGCACCTGATACTAGAAGTTGATGCAACCCTCTCTGGGAAGCACTCGGTTCGTGTAGCACTGCCCGGCAGATTGTGAAAGTGTGATTGTTTTTCCCACTAAAATGGTCTGTGACTGTGTAGAACACTGATACGGACTACGTAGAGTGGGTTTCTCTATGTAGAGTGGGTTTCTCTGCCTGTGAGGTTTTTTGGTGGGTTCTGGGAGAAAGCAGTGGAGGAAACATAAGGCAGAACGGCAAAAGGAAGAGTGGAGAGGAAAAGAAAAATATGAGGAAGGAAAAGGAAAGAGGGAGAGGGGAGGGAAGCAAGTTTGGGTTCGCCTAAATGAGAAATGTAAATGGGGATTTGATTCCTGCCTTGCTGTGGGTCATAAACAACATTATTAGCAAAGATGAATGGCTCAGGGGGTAGGTGCTTGGATAACTTAAAAATTGGATTTAGTTAGAGTTGGGAATTGGGTCAATAAAAAAAGCAAAACATCAAAGATTTTCTAGTTCTCCATTTTTTTTTCTCCAATCTCAAAATGATCGATTCCATTAAACGTATTTGGAAATAATGTTTTGAAGAACTTAACTGTGCTGAAACCTTAACCGTGCAGCGCTTCCTTTGAGGGCATCTCTCCTAAAGTAGGTACTTAGATCCACAGGAGTTTTAGAAGGAACTTTCTTCTGTTGACTAGGAACCCACACTTCAATTCTGCAAACCTCTTGCTGCTGACATTTCTAGTGATTGAGGAAGCCTATAAATATAAATAAATAAGAAAACTGCTGTTTATATTGCCCTGACAACCTGTTAGTTCAGGAAGCAATTGCCATCTCCGTTTTTAACATATTGTCAAATTCTTAGCAAAAATAGTATTTTTTGAATAGTTGTGAATTTTCCTAGAATGCCCTGAGCTTTAATCATGGTGACTGCCGCTTTTGGGGAAGGGAGGGAAGCATGTGGAAGAGCTGTGAGGATGGGGTTCAGGATGTTCAGGGAACAATTATTTGCCTGATCATTTTAGGCAAGAATATGTATTTCTGATTTATAAGGAAAATCTAACCAGCAAATCAAGAGAAAGAAAAATATTTGTTACTAAGCATCTACTCTGTGCAAGGTGCTTCATATATAACAATAAATAAGCTATGCTTGTATGTTCACTTAACTCTATAGTATTTGTCTTTAATGTCGTATATATTTTCCTCAAATATTTTAATTGTTTTGTCACGTATTTAAAGGCCTGAATTATTACTATTGTCCCATATATGCTAGTGAATAACTGAATGAATAAGTGAAATATCACTATATGAAATTTACATGATACTGTATATGGTCAAAACAAAGATCAAACCATACTTTTCTTTGGTGCCTAATGAGTGAATGGATTTGAGTTGGTTTTTCTAAGCAGACAACCCTTGTAGTTCTCAGTTTACAAAATCTATTTTAAGAAAGACCAGATTTAATCATTCCATAATCATAGTCATCTACATAGTTAAATTTGTCTTTACTGACCTTGTCTTTAAAAAGGAGTCATGAAAGAGAATTTTTTCAAAAATTAAATACAGGATATCTTGGTATTTTTAACCCCACGCTACCTTAATTTATGGATCTCCTTTTATCAGAGAATACAATAAATGATAGATACCATTATTAGAATTGAATGTTAATACTATTCCAAAAAAGCCAGTTTTAACACATAATTGAAAGTACTACAACAATAATTCTAAGTTAAAATTGGGATTTCATCTTCTGGTTTTTTTCCTTTCTCCTTAAAAAGATTATGCATTTATTTGTGCTCTGCTGTTGATGCTAATTTACTTTAATCTTTGCAAAAAACTTATCCGAAAAAGAAAACAGCCGTTAAAACTATAAAGCTTATTAAATTTTTCTTTTGGTGACATTTACCATTACAAAAGAGAAGAAAAGTTGTATAAAATCACAGGTTTTGTCATTTTGTTACTAACTTAACTTTAATAAAAACATTGAAGCATAAATTGTGTAAGATCAGTAAATAAGTCAATGAGTTAATTCTCATTTTCTCATAAACAGAAACGGAACCCAATGAGTTCTGTTGGTTATTTTAATAAGATTGAAAATGAAAGCATTTTAGAAGCTAAATATGTGTTAATTTATTGTTTGGATTATAGTTTGGATCATTTTGCATTCTTTCCTAGAATTACCACATAGCTTTTAAAACTTATCTTTTGACCAAGTAAATCTAATAAATTGATTTCTTTCAAAGTATCTTTTCACAAAATTAACCAGTTAAAATGACAAAGATAAAGCAAGATTAAATTTTAAAATAATATGGTAACAAAGGGCCAAACATAAGAGAAAAGTAAACGTCGTTCCACTCTGAACCTCGGACAAAATGCTTTGATTATTTTTCACAGTCACTCTCTACTCCAAAGAAACAATGAATTTATAAAATACTATATGGATAAGTAAGAAGTGTTCCTTGTGTGAATTACATATTTGACATCAATTTTATGCTTTACTACCTTAAAGGTCAACTTTATTAACTGTGCTTTCTAAATATATCCCCAAAAGAAGGGTGGTGACAATGAATTTATAGTACACGATTGTTTCATTTGTCAGATAAAAATCACATGAAGGCAGAGGCTACCTGTTAAGTGTCCTCCACTAGTGTCTCCACCACTACGTCTTATCTTTCTCTTTGTTCTGTTCCTCAGGAAGCTGACTTCCAATAATGGCATTAACAGTTTGTTGTCTGGTTTCCTGTTAAGTTCAACCATTGAGAACCGCACACAGAAGAGTGAAATTGGGCTATTAGTTTCTTGCCCGTGGGTTTTCCACCAAAGGCTGCAGGTGGTATCTGAGGCCCAAGTCTCTTGAGTTTGAGCGGCTCATTTGCAGCTATTGTTAATCCCAGAAAGCCACCTCAGACCTCTTACCCTTTCACTAAACTCTCTCCAAGTACCCCCTTGTCTAGCCAGGATCATGGCAACTATAAGCATAATGAATATGCCTGTAGTGTTAATATATATGCATATGAAGACTTCTTAGATGACTGATACAACAATTAATAATGTAATTTAAATTTCTGATGCAAAGGGAAATGTATGTGTCCATACATTTCCACGAGCAAACCAGGTTTTAGCCATCTCCATAATCACTAAGTTTCTCTGACTGAATAAATGAGCCAGCATGCTTCAGTCTGTGTATGTTCTTTTATATTCAGTATTTGAAATGAGGTCAGACAGAAAGCGGGAGGAATTGACTATATTTTTAATTTAAGAAATTAAGTTACAGTTTATCTACAGGATCTAATATAGCTATCAGTTGTCAGCAAGAAAGGTTCTTCAAACACTCATAATTTTCAAATGAGTTTCAAATACCTTTATGACCGAGTGTGGTTAGCCAAAAGTACAACACTGTTATAATCGTGGGCTGCTTCTGAGCTGTAAGCTTATTTACGCGGCAGAATCAGGGAAGTGTGTTGGCAAAGTGCATCTAGGACTTGCCCAAAGACCTGGATGGTAGCCTTCACTGCACCAATAACTGATTATGTGACCTTCATGTCATCATTTAAATCATTTATATCAAAGTCCCTCATAAGCTAACCTCTGATCTGTTCACAACCAAGACTTTCATAATTAAATATAAAACAAACTCAATTCTTGAAATGTAAGTCCTCACTTAACGTGAAATTCTTGGAAACTGAAACTTCAAGCAAAACATTGTGTAGCAAAATTAATTTTACCATAGACTAACCCATATAAGGAAGAGTTCCTGCAACATAATTTTGGTCACAGAAACATCACCAAACTTCTCAATATAGCCCTAAAAGACTTCTAATATAAAATATTGAGATAAATGTTAGCTACACATACTTTTAAGAAAGATTAATAAAAGCAAGTAAGATAATTATCCAACCTTTTTTATTTGAAATTAATATGAGGGAATGAATTTTTAGGTTACATTGTTCTCATTTCCAAGGTAAAGTTCAAGTTGTAGGAGAGCCCCTTACCCTGGGGGCATGTGCTAAATACCCTGGCATTGTGCACATTAGGTGAGATCCCACGAAATGCCCTCCCTTCTCACACCAATCATCTTCTCTCTCCCCTCTCCCTTATCTCATCTTGCTAGAGTATATTTGTGTTTTATCACTCATGTATGTGTTTATATATTGGTTTTGTATTAGTATTGAGTACTTT